GTTAGCAGGAATTTAATTGGTTACAGATTATTATGATGAGCTGACATCGGTTAGAGAGCCATTGGAAAACCTGGGACTACTGAACAGCTGTTTCATTCTAGTCTGAGACTCCTCATCAATACTCACCCTTTGGGGTTCAAACCGACGACTCTTCGGTTACAAGGCGAGCTCATAGACCATTAAGCCACTGAATTGTGAAATAAACTTTATGAATTAAATATACCCTTAGCCTGACACATTTTTCCTCTAGTTGCCAAATTTTATTTTGGTAATCAAAATTACCATCGGAAAAGTGGAGTCAAATATTATGCAGTATTGTTGACCAGTAAGTTTGCATCAAGTGAATGTATCCAATCAATAAAAATTATCTTCAAATTCTCTCTAAATATGTAGCAATTATCAACATACGTCTGACTGCAGAGCTCTTTGTCAAGTGACTTGTAGCATTTAATAGCATACAATAAGTAACATAGTGGTGTTGCATAGTGACCACAATCAACAAGTTTCAATTAGCACTCACGACTGCAAAACTAAAATTATTACCTCTGGACAGATATATCATATGAAAAGTTGGTGTATCTAAATACATATCTGATATCTAAACTTTTTATACATTAACTACATGGTTTAAATATACATTCAAGCATCATTGAACAAATTCACAGAGATCACTTTTCTAGTTGTATTAATTATGATATAATGTCTACATCTGAAGTGATATCAGTCATTTGAGCATATATTACTGAGGAGAACGTCAATTAACATCCTAATCATAATTAATTAGTGCTGTGTTTTCCAAGCTTGATACTTCGGTACTTAAGCTTTCAGTGTCATTCTAGATAACATTGACAGCTTAAATTTACTTAAGTATATTCATGCGTTTGCGTTCCCAGTGGAACAAAGGCTTTCAAGCTTTGAAAATGCAGTGTTTCCTTACGGTGACTTTGTTAGCCTTACACTCAATCTCTCCTCCTCGCTGGAGTAACTACCGACTAAGCAAGACTTAGGAGTGTGTCAATCGGGAATCGAACCTGGACCACGCATGTGGATAATGAGGATTCTCCTACAGAGCCACTGACGCTGATCAACAAATAATTTTCACTAAATCGCTGGTTTTTCTTATTAATCTGATGGTACCATTTAGATGAGCCTACTCAGAAAGTCTGTTTTCAGAAACTATTCAGTGAATTTGTCATCTTTCTAAGCAATATGACGCATTAACGTTCATGAAAGTGAGTCCATCCACTGCACTTTCTTTAGCTAATGCTTACAAATTCCTAAAATAAGATATGTTATCAAATGACTATACCAATTGGAAAGGGAATTACTTGGAATCCTTTCTTCTAATTTTCGAAGGATCGACGATTTAAATCAGAAACAATAAAATGACTTATTTAATTTTTTTGATAGAAAAAGGGTTTCTAACATTCCACAGAAATTCGATATTTTCAAAGATGACGGTATAAAGACTAGTAAGTAAATGTTAGCAAGTTAGCATGCGGCAAAAATATTTCGCCAAGTGGACAAAAATCCTGCCATCAAAAATGGATTGCAAATCAACAAATACATAATTTCCAGAATTCATTTCATTCATCATAAAAAGAGATTAATTTACTATAAACCAAACAGAAACATAACCACGCCTACTTCAATAGGTTTTTAACCGGTCCCAAGCAAAGAAGAAGAGGGAAGGGTTGTGAGTGAGGTTACCGACCCTACACCACAAAACCAATCAAAATACTACAGAAACTTCAACGCAAAACAGAAATACATAAAATGAAAAAAAAAATTGATTTTTTGGTTAATAAAGCAGGATTTAATGAATTCACCAAATTTCGGTAGAACTCGTCATCTGAATACTCTACATACACGGATATATATACTTTTGAAATTACATTGGGATAGAGCACGAAAAATTTGTTCTGACAGTACTGTTGAGTATGAAATAAAATCCCTGAAGGATATCTTATCTAAGAATGGATATCCTGAGAGATTCATTTATAAATACTCTAAAGAAAACACCCCCTGCAAAACAATCCAAACAGATCCGAAGAAACCTGTCTATATCACTTTGCCGTTCAAAGGAGATGATGTACAGGAAGTGTAACAACAGAAGACAAGGGTCAGGCAACAGATCGTTTATTAAGGAAATCAAAGCATATTTATATATTTTCATGTACATTACTATGGATATTTAAGCAAACAAACACAGTCTTCCGATTGGTTGTTTCTCACTTAAAGTTAATCTTCCATCTCTTTGTGACTGTTTCTTGAATGTCAAATCATCTATATGTTAACTGTATCCGCCTACGCAAAGTCTGCTGTGGTCGGTTTTGAATCAGTCTTGTTCATATTTTCTCACGACAAATCTTGAGAACGTAAACATTGACGTAAATTACTGTCTACCAATTTGGCTAGTAGACAGCTCTCACCACAGAAGTAGTCAAACGAAGACTCGACAAAGCCATCAAGAGAACTTATTATGCTGCAAAACTTGTTTTCCTTAACACCACTAAGCGAGTGCTTCAACAATCTGGGAAAGACCAGTCGACAATCCTCGACACTTCAAACTGCGTATATCAATTTGAGTTTATTTGTGGAAGCAAATACATAGGTCGTATGGAAAGGAGACTGTCTACTCGCATAATGGAGCATTTGCCAAAATGGTTGAAAACAGCTGAGTGCAAAGTGCCAAAATCCTCAATAACAAAGCATCTTGCGGATTACGCACATGATATCGACGCGGTCAAGTCATTCACCATTGTCAGCAGACAAAGAAACAAGAAGATGCTTGCAATTGCAGAGGCTTGTGCAATTCGAGTTTACAAACCAGGTCTCTGTGTACAAAAGGAGATGGTCGTGACTCTGAATCTACCATGGTAATACGTTTTACTTATAATTCTGCCTCTTATTATTCTCATTATTATTATTCTTGATTCATTTAAAACTATCCTTTATCAGTAGCATTATCTTAACTCACTTCAACGCTATTATTATTATTATTGTTATTATAACTATCACCATTGACATCCCTCTGGTTGCAATTCTTGTGAAATTCTCTAGTGTCTAATTGTTTATCTAAGTGATGTAATTGAAGCGTAATGCAATTTATCTTAATTTTGATCTCCCATATTCTCTCTCCCCTTATCTAATTGAACATGACCTGGAAAAACATTCGCACCTGTCTTTCTGCATGACTAATTCAATGTAGTTTGTTTACTTATCAGTCCTATATCTCCCAATATAATTTCAAAAGTATATATATCCGTGTATGTAGAGTATTCAGCTGACGAGTTCTACCGAAATTTGATAAATTCATTAAATCCTGCTTTATTAACCTTTATTGCTTGTTTTAAATTCGTATCGGGAAATGCTTCTAATTTTTTGGTGGATACGAAAAGGCAAAATCATGCAGGCTGGTTAAAGACTTCGGGAATCCAGTAAATCGATGTTTTCTCTCGATGAAAAGAAAAAATAAGAATCGGAACGTGGGATGTGCGTACAGTGTACGAAGCTGAGAAGGCTGACCAGGTACCCGAAGAAATGCAAAGATATGGAACTACATTTCTCGGAATCTGCGAAAGCAGGTGAAATGGACGTAGACTATCCAAACTGTCAACTGGAGAGTTTGATACATACTCCGGTCTGGTCACCCACACGACAACCACCAGCACACTGAGGCAGTGAGTGGCCATCATGATGTCACCATCACCACCAACAACAACTAGAACGAAGGCTCTTATGAAGTGGAAACCAATCTCCTCACGCAGGATAGCGCAAGTAAGATTCAACTCAAAAGGAAGGCGGTGTGATTACAACTATCCAATGCGACGCACACTGCAACAAAAAACTCAGAGAAAGAGAAGAAGGAAGATTTCTATGAACAACTAAAAACACTAATGGACAACATACCGAATGGCATCATCAAAATCCTGATGGGCCATATGCTTGCCAGATGAACTGGGAATGAGCAATACAGGGAGAAAAATCATCATTGGTCGATAGACTCTCGCTCGGCGAAATCAATGACAATGGAAAACTCTAGGCGGAATTCCACGCCTTCAATGATTTGGTGATTGGAGGCAGCGTGCACAAACACAAGGATATACGCAAGGCAAGCAGCATCGACTTCGCCTGACGGACACGCCACAAACCAGATATACTTCATTTCAATACTGCTCAAGGATATGGAGACTCAGACTGTTGGACACAAAGCTGAGATGGAGAGCAGATGTGAGCTCATGCCATCATCTAGTTCAAGCAACCTCCAGAGTCAAACTAAAAGCACTAACAACAACTAGAGATAGGCCACTAAAATTCAAGTGCGACACTCAGAAACTGAAGGACAGAACTACAAGTGATACCTTCATTGCAGCCATCAGAGCAAAGTCAGCGACATTACGTGACATCACTGGAAAAACCCACGTGGAAGAACACTGGAACTAACTCTCTGCAGGTGATGTGCAAGGAAACATTTACAGACATTCTAGGAAGAAAGATGAGGCAAGACAAGGAATGGCTCGTTATGAGTACGTGGATGCTAACTAGGTGAGGGAGAGATGGTGAAACAGAAAATGACTCAATGCAAATATAGACGACAGAAGGAGAGCTGAGTCCAAAGTACATCGCACTGAATAAAGGAGTGAAGAATGGTGCTTTGAAAGACGAAAGTCTATTGTACAACACACTGGCCGGCAAATGAAGCAGAACAGACAGCAGGTTAAGGGGACCTCAGAACATTATATCAGATAACCAAGTGTCTTTCCGGGAAGACATCAACATAGATGAAACAGCAGGAAATAGAACAAAATGGGGATGTGTTGTGGAAGCTCTATGTTCCACTTGGAACCCAAGGAAACAATAATAATAAACATACACATAAACATTTTAAATGTTTTGTTGCTATGAGCAAAATTCATGCGAAAGAGGTCATGCAGAGAAGAATACCGTGTATCGCTGTGTGTTACGTCAAGCAAACTTGCTCATATGGAATTGCAATGGTGAGTAAATTTTATTCAAAGCATAATCTCATTACTGACGTTGGCACAAACATGGCTTGTTTGAAATTTCTGTGTATACGCAAATAATTGCATTTATGGGAAAAATAATTTAAAATGAAAATAATACATTTCACACAATTATTCCTCCAAAATAACTTAGTAAAATCAAGAAGAACACATTGCGTAGGATGAATTTACACTTTCATAAATAGAGAATACCCATTGAAAATTCCAAGAGACTGATTAATGAACAAGTAATATTAGCTTCGATAACTTCTTCGTAAGGTTTTATAGTTATAATGAAACCCAACGTAGTCTTTTTTCACACGTAACGAAGGGTTACAATGAGTGAATTAGACCAATATTTATAAAAGGTATGTTTTTACAAAATGTGAAAATAAACCAACCGTTATTATTCCCCTGTCATGGAAACTAATAGGGTGCATGTTTTTAGCCGACAGATTCGAAAGCAACTACTAGTGACTAAACCAAATATTCAGGTCACATAATTTAATTACTAGGAGTATAGAAATGCAGACAACGATTTAACATGAAAATTAGAACAATACTGATTTATGTACTTCATTTTTATTTGAAAGTCACAAATTCATATTTGAAAAATGGTGTGAAAGGAAAACAGTCTATCTGATTAGAAACTAAGATGGTAAGAAAGTGAATACACAGTTGTTTTCAAATACATACATACAAATTCTGCTGACCAACAAGTCTAACATTAATACGAACAAAAATAAAGTTTTCTTCATCTCAGTGCCATAACATCACCAAAAACTCAGTGTTCTGAAACAGAACTAGGTTTCTGAGAATTCGGATCATACAAAGGCACGTTCAGAAGAAAATAAGTTATATAACATATAGTAAGAATTTATATCACCCCACTAATGCCCGTATAACCTTCCACAATTGTTCCATCTAATTAGAAGGAACAGGAAGATAAGGCTTCAGTGGGGAATTAACCTCAGCAACCAGTTACAGCTGCAGAAGCGCCCGATTTCTTCGTTACATGTAAAGTAGTAAATGTCTGAAAGAAAAAATAAAGAAATAGTTAAGTTAATTAAGTAATTCAGATGATTTGAAACCATTTGAAGTAATAATAAGTAATATTATGCAAGACGGAAATTAACACTAACACTGCCAATGTTTTCTCGAATTTCAGTAATGTCTAACAAGCAATAAAAATATGCTGGATTTATTTCCCAACCCACCTCCCCCCCCCCCGCCAACACCACCACCTTAAGAAATGTTACCTTTCTAACAGAAAACTCTTGAAAGTAATTATAATAGGCAATAATTTAAATATAGTGGAAGCAGTAGGCACAGAGAGAATACGGAAGTGAATTATAAATAGGAGGGTTAAATAATTGCTACCATTATGAAACAACAACCAAGTAGCCCTGAAAATGTATGAAGTTACAAGTACGGAAAGTCAGTGAGATTTTAAGCTACTGAAATCTTTAAAATGCACGACTAGAAAAGGATGAACATAAATGACTACAATACTGTTCATAATACAGCTTGTTTATCTGGTGAAACATCATCTACATGAAGAATTATTGTACTACGAAAATACGGGAAGTAGACAAAAGACAATGTGTTACACCAATATGCGTATTCTTTTATTATTTTGCAATCGATTTAGCAACATTAATAAAAAGCCCGTGTTACATACTTTTAAAAGAACTGTTTAAAAGTGTGACAAGTAATGGCACAATGGTAGTAAATCTCTCAACATACTGTTTAATTATACCTTGACTTCGTTGGAAAACGACTAGGTTGGAGACTAAATGCTGAGATACTATTCCGATATTAAACGGTGGCGATTAGAGGATAACAGATGCAAAACGAGTCACTTAACATCCCACTGAACTAACTTATAGATACAACTAGATCTAGGGATTGTAAAAGCATCCATATACTTAGTATAATTAAATTATTTTATGAAAATAAAAATACGTAGTGTTGACGAACCTCAGAAGATGTTGGATGAATACCGATAGTACGGTCAAAATCGGCTTTTGTAGCACCCATTTTGATTGCGACAGCATACCCCTGAGTTATTTCGCCAGCATTAGGACCCAAAACATGTAGACCTAATACACGCATATTCTAAAAAAAAGTATAGAAGTAGGAGTAAATTGATTAAAGCTTTTGAAAAAAATGAACTAAGTGGAAAAAGAGGACGCTCTTAAAATAACCCAAGGAATTGGATCTCATGATAACAAATAAATCACATGATTTACTCCAACGAAGTTTCAAAGCTAAACGAATTTTAAAAATTATGTGACTTAATATGATTTTCGTATTTAAAATGATGTTTAGTGGGTTAATATGAAATAGAATAGACTGTGAACAAGATATCACAAAATGGAAATAAACGTAGAAACACATTATAGGATTTTGAAAAGACGTCGAGTTTGAAGAAAAACTAAATTGTATGTCAAACAAGGCAGGCCTACCTGAAAGATTTTATTTACTTAATCGAGTGTGTTATTATTCAATGAACTGTCAAGGAAAAGATTGTGCATGTTAGCGCTTGTCAGTAAAAATGCACTTATAACTCCAGAAAGAATACAACACTTTCACATGGTTTCAATTCATACCGTTTGGTAATGTAGACAATAACGACAGATGAATGTCAATAATGCAAATGTCAGCCATGAGCACACCTACTCGACAAAGGCTATAAAAACAAATTGACTGGGATGATATCACTAGCGAAGGAGGTTGGAACTCGTCGTTTAACATTTTGAAGTTGAATGCTGTAACCAATGAGAAACAATCTCTACGTTTAAACATTAATTACAGTTGTGGTATCTTGCTCCCACATGATTATTTGTAAGGTTGCAATACACTCTGCAGAAGAGAATACAGTGTTATTTCGTTCGATACGGGATGAATTACACTAGAAATTCATTTTAGTCACTAATCTAAGTGACTTTACATGAAAATTCAAGCAGCTGAGCTGTAACTTTTTTAACCAAATATGGGATGTTTAGAAAGGGATTTAAACGCGTTCAGAAAATTAACGATACTTGCTATATTAACCGACAGTGGACGTCAAACCTGTATATTTAGGGTATGACCGGTTATTAGCCCGGTCGATAACTGCTACCTTGCCGTGGTGGTCGAGCTTGAATGCCGCAGTGACCCAACAAGCTAAACTGGCTGGGATTCATGTTGCTGCAGGTCCTACCATGCCAGGAAGGTTTTTGGGATAGCGGTTAGACTAAAAGCAGTTACCATGGGGTACATGGGCTCCAGAATCCAATCGGATCAAATGGCGTACGAACCCATATGGGTTACTGGCAACCATGGGGACGCAGCACCTGACGCTGCTCCGCTGCCTTGCGGGTTAGACTCCAAGTCAAAGGCTCGGGGGTTGGTCCCTTAAGAAAACCACTTGCTTCGGTCTGGGCACCCGGGCAGTATCTCAGCCCACACACAATGAATGAAATAAAGCAACAAAATATCAGTGGAACTTATCCCGCGCTCGTAACAATGCGTTCAAGCAATAATGATGTCTCAAGTAACACATCTCTTTCCAACCTTACTTTTATTTTTATACTTAGTTTCCTGTATTTTACCTTTGCTCACCTTGACTTCTTAACCTTCGACAGCCTTTCGCCTTTGTCTGGATTCCTAACCTATCTGTGTCGTGTTGCAATTTCCTTCTTTCTTCCTTTCCTGATGATAGTTAACGAATACTGTTTGAACTTGTTAAACATGACTGTTTTCCTTCCTGATGAAGTTCTTTATCCGTTTTCTACTTATATTTTTACTTTTAATCTATGTTGTTTTATTATTATTGTGTGGCGCATCTTTCTTGGTGCCATACTGTACCAAGTTTTTCTGCGTTTAAATCTAAATATAATATATAAATATACCGGTTATTAGTGTGCATCGCTTCGATGCTGTTAAAAAAATCATACGTGTTACGGTACAGTTTTCAAAAGAAACTGTTATAAAGGGTAACCTTAAACTATGTAATTTGCATATGACTAGTTTCATATCAGAATTGGTCTTATATTTGAATAATGTTCTGATGATTAAGAAAAAAGCATTAGGATTGTGCTCATGTCGAATATTTCCCCATAAGAGTCAAACTACGGTACAACAATCTCGCAGTTTGTTGAGACAACAATCAATGTACTTCCCTTACAAAACTACCCCTCATGTCCAAACAGTTTACTTTAAAAAGAGTATAGTCAGTGAATAAGCATTTACCAATGACTTACATCAGACTTTCGACACACAAGTTTCACATAGCAAACATTATCTTCACGATGAGCTACAGTCCATTCTAAAGGTTTGAAATGGGAATGGTATACCTATAAAATAATAAATGCAGATATGATAAGAATTTTTAACTCACTTAATTTTAATAGAGGCAAAAGAAGAACTGTTGAAATACAAATTAAAAGGAGTACAATTATGAAATTTATATAATCTAAAAATTTTGATCATTGTCCAATTTACACATTAGCAAGTGTACACTTGTCTGTTAATCAGTAGAATGGTGAAGGATAGTACAAAAAGTCTACATTTAAAATTTGATTAGCTATAATTTCTTTGCCCTCCATAAGAAGTTTGTACTACAAATTAGATTTGTATTATTATTATTATTGTTCCCTTGGGTTCCTAGTGGAACATAGGGCTTCAACTGCACGTCTCCACTTGCTTCTGTCTTCTGCTATTCTTTTCACTTGCGTCCATGTTATTCCATACTGTTTCATCTCCTCCTCACACGATCTCCTCCATGTCACCCTTGGACGTCCCACTCGCCCCTTCCCTTTCGGGTTCCACTCGAGGGCTTGACGCGCGATGTCACTCAACGGCCTCCTCAGCGAGTGTCCAATCCATCTCCACTTCCTCCTGCATATTTGTTGGGCGATTGGTTCCTGTTTCGTTTGTTCACATAGCTTCTTGTTTGTGATTCTTTCTGGCCATCTAATCTTCAGTATGGAGCGAAGACAGTTGTTGATAAAGGTCTGCAACCTGTTGAAAATATTCTTGGTGACCCGCCAAGTTTCTGATCCGTAAAGCAAAATTGACTTGACGTTTGTATTGAAAATCCGAATTTTGTTGTTGATGCTGAGTTGAGTGACGAAGATTTCCAGATTGGTTTCAGGTTGATGAATGTGTTTCTCGCCTTCCCGATTCTCGATTTGACATCCTCGTCCGTTCCTCCTGTAGTTGAGACAATGCTCCCCAGATAAGTGAAAGAAGTAACCTCTTTCAAATCCCTCCCGTTGATGGTGATTGGCACTGGATGTTGCCGCTGATGTTGTTGTTGTTGGTTGGTTATTTTCATAACCTCCGTCTTGTCTATGTTCACCTGGAGTCCTGTCTTTGCTGCTTCTTCGACCAGTTTGTCGGTTTTTGCTTGTAAGTCTTCGATTTTGTGTGACATCAAACATAAATCATCCGCAAAATCCAGGTCTTCTAGGTTCTTCACGTCGGTCCAGGATATCCCTGTCTTCTCGTTTCCCACTGTCTGACGCATAATCCAGTCCACCACAATTAGGAATATCATTGGTGATAATAAGCACCCTTGTCTGACTCCTGTGTTTACTCCAAAAAACTCGCTGAGTTTTCCGTTGTGGATCACTTGACATGTGCCGTTGTCGTACAGTTGTTGAATAAGGTTGATGAATATTTGGGGTGCGCCGTAGTACTCGAGTAGTTTCCAAATTACTTCGCGGTCAACGCTGTCGAAGGCCTTCTCAAAGTCTATGAAGTTGAGGTAGAGATTTGATTGCCATTCCATGCTTTGTTCGATGATAATGCGTAGAGTTGCAATTTGGTCAGAACATGATTTGCCTTTCCTGAATCCAGCTTGTTCTGGTCGGAGTTCTGTATCCAGTGCGTCCTTGATTCTCTCCAGGATGATGCGACTCAGGATTTTACTTGGCGTCGACAGGAGCATGATTCCTCGCCAGTTCTTGCAGAGTCCCAGGTCGCCCTTCTTTGGTAGTTTCACCAGGTAACCTTTCCTCCAGTCAGTAGGCACCTTTCCCTCTTTCCAGATCTTTTGCAATAATGGAGTCAGCATATCTGCCGTCGTTTCTGGGTCCGCTTTCAGTGCTTCCGGGGGTATTCCATCTGGTCCAGCTGCTTTTCCAGCTTTCAGAAGCTTGATTGCATTCATGACTTCAGTTTTCGTTGGAGGATTGGTGTCAACTTGCAGTTGTGTACGTGCTGTTGTTGGTATTACTGGGCGGGTTGTAGGTGGTGGTCGGTTCAAGAGTCCTTTGAAGTGGTCCGCCCATTGTTTAATCTGTCTTTCTTCTTTGGTAATTGGGTTCCCTTGGCTGTCTTTTATAGGTTTCACTTGTACAACATAGTAAAAGCTTGTAGGCAAAGTAAGATGATGATCATTGAAACTGAATTATATAACTCATCGTTGAAAATTCGGTCGGAGTTTTTAATCACACTATTTATTGTAATCAACTTCACAATTTCAAAACAAGGTAAAAATGAGTGAACAGTTCGGTATCATGAAACAAACTGAATTTGACTGAACTACAACGATGATAACTAAAAGACATCACTCAACGAAATGAAGACAATTTTAACAAGAGTCATTTATAGCATACATGAAGTGTGGTTTCCATATAATAGGAGAAAATGGATACATGAATACTCAAAGAATCAAGATAAATACAACACATACCTCAATATCGTCATCACCAAACTTCTCAATTGCATCCTCTTCACTCATCCCACAAGCACCATATTCTAACGGAGTGAAAACAGTTGTGGCTACATTGGTATAGTCTGTCTGTAACCAAATGAAACAAATACCGCAAAGGAAACACTGAGAAGTCTATACTGTTTTGTATGGTGTATAAATAAAAAGAACGAATGTTGTAATAAGAGTTCGCCTCTAAAGAAGATTCAGATTTCACATTAAAGAATAAAATATGTCGTCCTGCTGAATATTTAGTGAAAAAAAGATTCATGATGTCAAATGGAATTAACATAAAGGATGACGTGCAGGTTGACATTTGAAAATTGGCTTAAAAAATTTAAAGGTCAGAGAGACAGACAGAGAAAGTAAAGACCCACCCCTGGACTATTTATAGCCTGAGTAGTAGACAACAATCACCGAACCACACCAGAGGATATGTTACATTTTCTTTTCTACATTAATAGTGCACTTAACGTACTATGAGAACGCAGCATTTACTAAGGATATATATATATATATATATATATATATATCCTCTTAGATGAATCCAACGTCTATCACAAAAAAATGATCCTATGCAGAATACTGTGTGAAACAAGCCCACGGCAATTTCCACTTGTATTATTATCATTACCTTAGCTGCTATCATTATTATTATTTCCATTTTATATGCTGCATGTTTCTTATTTTTTTATATTAACCCTATTGTAAATGTAGAAAAATTTTATGTGTGATTAATGCTGAAAATTCCATTCTGTATCACAAGTACTGTTTTTGGAATAAAGTAAATTATTATTATTTTTTCATGTGTTCATAACGGATGGTATTTAACACAGTTAAGACGATTAACCATCTACTCAAAATATATTTCCCAAGGGTGAATTACACTGTTAACTTTTAGCTGTGTTAATGTTGTGTAAAAGTAAAAGTCATAAAGATTATTGTATTTTATTGGCACATTCTATTTTTTACAGTTAACAAAACTATCCCTATATTATAACGATTAAGTAAAACAAACAGAAAAACTAGTTAATTTAACTTACTATTAAGCATTTATTACCACATGATACCAATTTATTCTATTCTCTTTTATCCAAGACGCTGCTAACTATAAATTATTTTCGCGCTATTTATAAATTACTTTCAAATAGTAATGAATATTCTAGTAGATAGTGCTTTTATCACGTTTGAAACCATGAATAGGCTGTGTGTAAGTGTCACTACGGGAACACCACCAGCAAGTATACCCGGATGACGAGTCCCAAGTTGGCGGAGATGGTTTCTACTGCTAGTCACCACTAACCAAACAGCATCATAAATATTCTATGTTGGATAGTAACCTACACTAGACAGCTTAACTATATAAAATGTCAGACAAAATGGATTTGAATAGGTTGTAGCGACCTCAAGGAATACGGAGAAAAAGGTTAATTCAGCATGCTATATACTTTTTAATTACATTAGAAAAGCCTATTATTCTTAGCCATAAGCAACAAAAGACCTCGAACTTTCGGCATTACTTCCAATTGTTTTATAACACCGACAGTCTTCATTCAATTACCTTGAAAACATACCTAAATTCTAGCAGTGTCCTTGCTACATATAAATATTTTTATTTGAACTAGTGTGATGATTAACAAGACAATGTCAGAGGTGTGATTATGTTATCCTACTACACTAATGCATAGAATAGGATTGTTAAGTAACAGGACTTATAATGATTTCAAAGTGCAAATGATCATACGTTTCTTATAGTTCTGGATTACACAAGAACATATAGTGTGGAAACAGACTATCTAATATATCACAGTCAAATGAAATTGAACCCATGAATCATGTGTAAAAGTTAATGTTATGCTGAAAAAATTACTTGAAATACTCTCAGCTGCGCCAGAGGATACAAAAAGTAAGATTCAAATTTGGCACTCTGTATATCTGTTATTGCTATTCTCAGAGTATTTATTTACCTTTTTGCTTCATCATCACTACAACAGCATTTAAACTAGTTTCTTACAGCTTCTGCAATGAATGAACTTCATAATATTCTTTTGAATACACTTTGTCTAAATTCAGTTATCAACACCTTTGAGAAATCAAATACATGAGAAATCTCGATACTACTGATGAAACTTCATCTGACAACAATGAAGTGAAAATTGTAATGGCTACTAAAAAATCGTTGTCCAACAACTCGTAAAGTTTTTTTAACACAAGTTAGCTTTCCAGGATTTGACGAACAAAGCATATACTTTAGAAACTGAAGATAAGGAGACCCATTGCGGAATATTCTAACACTTTTTGACGCGACGAAGATTCTGATTAAGCAGAGGAACGAAAAACACCTTTAGAAATAAACAACTTCGAATCAAACAGTAGTCAGATTTCAAACGACAGATGTAATCACTGTCGAAAATTAACCAAGCTGTAGTCTAACTTTTAACGTGGTGGAATAAAATGTGATTAGCAAAAACACAACCTACATGACATATGATGCTAAAAACTGTAAAAAAGTACAAGCACTGTTTATGTCAACCTACAAGTTCAGTTGCTCCAGCAAATAATCGTCTAGCTAGATAGCGTCCGGCGTGAATAGCCACCGGGGTTAGTTGTGGTTTGCCCGCGTTGATATCTCCAATAGCATAAATGTTACTGACAGTGGTTTGCTCATCATCCTCACAGACAGCTCGACCATTTCTAAAGTAATAAATATTTCATTTGAAATAATCAAAAACGGGATAAATTTTAGCTACTTGAAAATACTGACATACATAGAAGATTACACACTGGAAAACCTGCATGACATTAATAATGAAATTTTCGTCTACGTATATTTTTTTCCTTCACGTTCCCCAGTGGAACATAGGGCTTCAAGCTAGTGGCTTGAAGTTTCTGTAGCAGTGCTTATTTTACTGGATGGGGTTGCTAGCCTCATACCCAACCTTTCCTCTTCACCAGCATTATTTCTGGCTTAGCGAGGGTAAAGGAGTGTGGTAAAGGAGTTCGGTCGGGGATCGAACCCCGGACCATATGCATGGTCGGCGAGCGCCCTAACCGCTATGCCACCGACGCTAATATGATATCGGTAGCCCAAATTTTGCAGACCGGCCATAGATATCAGGTGTGCGTGAGCAGGGGATCGGACCCCAGACCATGTGCATGGTGGGCGAGAGTCCTAACCACTGTGCTACCGACGCACAAAAGGGTTTCGTGCTAGTTGGCACTCGTCAGCAAGGCGTATCTGCAACCTTGAAGGAACTCATGTCCCTTCTGAGATTCGAACCCGCGTCACCCAGTGCTGCAGTCAGAGACGTTACCACTGAGCTATTCATAACAATCAATTTTTTCGAATCAACACCGAAAAATAGCGATAACAGCATGATGATAATGTAAATGAAAGAGCAAACAGAGAAATTTTCCCTGCTCCTTAATATCAATGTGCTCTTTTCAATGTCCAGTGACAGAATCAAATTATTAATGAACCTACGAAGTTGTTGTTTGAATTAGATTCCTGGAACATGTTTTCGCATGTTTCAGGCTGTCAGTCACATTTATTGTGTAAAGGCTGGTGGCTGGTATTCACTTAACCAGGCTGAAGTTGGTGGAGCAAGGTTCAAAGCCTGGACGAACTGGTTCAAAGTCGAAAGTTTATTAAGCTAATGAGTCAAATCACCAAATATCTCCATTTGACTATATATGAGGAACATTCCTCACGATATACCTCAGTCATTTTTTAACATTTCTGATTTTCCTACTTTTTTCACCAAAATCCTATCGATTACTGAAATATCCCCCAATATTTATCATATTATTTACTCGATAATGAATGAGATATATCACTGTATCTGTCTATTTTAGTAGACATAAGCATTGACAGAATGAATAGAGATTTTTTTAAAATTCAGATTTGCAGTAAACCTAGGTATATGGGGTTCTTAAAAACATAAAACTGGTGAAATAATTGATGGAAGTGGTCATGTTACTTAGTCGAGAGTACGTCTCACCCCACCTACTTCAGTACGGACAACTGGGTAGTATCACCAACCCTCACATAATAAGTTTGGCTCCTCCTGGTACATGAAAAATCGGTAACTAAAAATAAGCGACTTAAACGAAGGATCGAATTATGCGGAGGTAATGAACTTGACTATTCAATCAGAATAGCCCGCAGTAAATAGGTGAGATTATGGATACCGTACACGAATTATGATGAAGATTTCATCTAAATGTGGTATTTCAGTGTTGTTTGGTTGACAGATATATATACATATCCCGACCGATAGCTGCTACCTTGACGTGGTGGTCGGGCTTGCATATCGCAATGAACCAACGAGCTACACTGGCTGGAACTTATGTTCCTGTAGGTCCTACCATGCCAGAAAGGTTGTTTGGATAGCGGTTAGACAAAAAGCAGCTACCCAATCCAAAACTATGACCCAAACAAAATCACAAAATATCATGCCGGATCGGTCGGGGCCCGGACTAACAACGGCCGCGCTTCCTGCTGCTGTGTCACAGGGCAGAAGTGATGAATATGCTACTGAGACACACCAAACAAGAAAGAACAAGCAGTTGTCCCCTGGGCTCTGCGGTCACGCAACACTAACCTTTTCTCTGTCCCCTTCTTAGGCGTGAGGCTAGCAACCCCACCCTGTAAACAAAGCTGCTACAGAAACTTCAGCACGACGAATCTCCTTGCGCCAAAAGAAAAAGTCTGTGTGGGGACATGGAATGTCCGCACCATGTACGAGATTGGCAAAGCTGCCCAGATCGCAAACGAAATGAAAAGATACGGAATTCAAGTACTCGGGATATGTGAAAGCAGATGGAACGGGAATGGACTCACCAAATTGTCAACGGGTGAGTCGGTGATCTACTCCGGTCACCCAGAGGATAACCACATGCACACCGAGGGTGTAGCTATCATGATGTCACCAACAGCAACGAAGGCCCTGATGCAATGGGAGGTGATCTCGCCCAGGATAATGACCGCCAGATTCAACTCCAAAGGAACGAAAGTGTCAGTGCTGTGCACCCACAAACAACGCAGACCTCGGAAAGAAAGAATTCTACAGACAACTACAGGCAACAATGGACAATACTCCAGCTGGCGACATTAAAATACTAATGGGAGACATGAACGCCAAACTGGGACCAGACAACACAGGAAGAGAACTCATCATGGGTAGAGAAGCTCTCGGAGAAATGAATGAAAACGGAGAACTCTTCGCCGACTTCTGCGCCTACAATGAACTAGTGATTGATGGCAGCGTATACAAACACAAGGATATCCACAAGGCTACATGGGTGTCACCAGATGGGCGAACCAAAAACCAAATTGACTTCATCTCAATCTCAAGGAAGTGGAGGCGCAGCATACAGGACACGAAAGTAAGAAGAGGAGCAGACGTTGGCTCATATCACTACCTCGTACAAGGTATAAGTATAAAACTTGGGCACTGTGGTAGAGTATAATTCCATAATGGATAAGATTTTATTTTGATAAATCACACAGTGTAGTACAGTTATATTAACTGATGACGTTTCGAGTTGATATGATATGATTATGAGCAATAGTTTGTGCTCGAAACGTCATCAGTTAATATAACTGTACTACACTGTGTGATTTATCAAAATAAAATCTTATCCATTATGGACCTCGTACAAGGGACAATCCAAATCAAATTAAAAGCTTTCAGAGAAACAGGAGCTGCAGATAGACCACAAGCCAAGTTCAACACTCAAAAACTGAAGGACCAGGACACAAAAGACATCTTCACTGCAAGCATAAAGGACAAAGCCGAGACACAAATCAACACTAGCGAAGAGACCAGCGTTGAAAAGCACTGGAACAACTTGAAAACAGTGTGGAATCAAACCTGCATGGAAGTTCTAGGCAGAAAGAAGAGACAGGACAAACAGTGGCTCACTACGAACACTTGGAGACTGATAGAAGAGAGAAGGATGGTGAAACAAAAGATTCTCCAGTGCACCGACGAGCAACAAAAACAGAATTTGAATGCAAACTACAAGACACTGAACAAAAGAGTAAAGAAGAGTGCCATAGAAGACAAAAGAAAGTATTATGAAACCATGGCAAGTGAAGCAGAACAAGCTGCAGGCAAAGGAGACCTCGCAACACTCTACCAAACAACTAGGTACCTATCCGGCAAAAGTTTGACACAAATTAAGCCGGTGAAGGATGACAATGGAAAGTCAATCACCAAAGGAGTGGAGAAAAGGAAACACTGGGCTGAACACTTCAAAAGACTCCTAAATCGACCACCACCTACAACGCGCACAACAATACCAACGACAGAGACAGAGCTACCAGTGAACACCAACCCCCCGACGAAATCAGAAGTCCTGAAGGCAATCAAGATGCTAAAAGCTGGAAAAGCAGCAAGACCAGATGGAATCCCAGCAGAAGCATTGAAAACGGACCCAAAGACAACAGCGGACTTGATGACGCCACTACTGGAGAAGGTGTGGAAAGAGGGGAAAGTACCCTAGGATTGGAAGAAAGAATACTTATTTGAACTATCAAAGAAAGAAAACTTAAGTTAATACCGACCTAGCGCGGAATTATGCTCCTTTCCATCCCAAGTAAAATACTCATCCGCATCATCCTGGAGAGAATCAAACATGCCCTGGATGAAAAACGTTGACCGGAACAGGCTGGATTCAAGAGGAACAATTCATGCATTGATCAAATCGCCACATTACGGATCATCATTGAACAAAGCTTGGAATGGCAGTCACCTCTTTATCTCAACTTCATCGACTTTGAAAAGGCCTTCGACGGCGTCGATAGAGAGGTGATTTGGAAACTACTTCGCTACTATGGGGTGCCGTCAACTATTGTACACCTCATCCAACAGTTGTACGACAATGCTGCATGCCAAGTAATCCACAACGGGAAAATTACGGAATCCTTCGAAGTGAGGACAGGGGTAAGACAAGGCTGCCTACTATCGCCAATGCATTTCCTGATTGCAGTAGACTGGATAATGCGACAAACAGTGGGCAATGAGGAAACAGGCATAAAATGGACTCACACAAAAACTTGGAGGATCTGGACTTCGCCGATGATATATATCTGATTTCCCACAAACTGGAAGATATGCAAGCGAAAAGCAACAAGTTGGCAGAAGAAGCATCAAAGATAGGGCTTCAGGTGAACATGGGGAAAATAGAGGTAATGAGGATTCCTGGACAAGAGCAGCAGCAACAGACAACGGTCAGCATAAATGGGAGGAACCTGAAAGAAACAACCTCTTTTACCTACCTGGGAAGCATCGTTTCAACTACAGGTGGAACTGATGAGGATATCAAAGCAAGAATCGGAAAAGCAAGACAATCTTTCACTACTCTTAAGTCTGTGTGGAGGTCAACAGCACTCAACATCAAAAATAAGATCCGGATTTTCAACTCCAATGTGAAGTCAGTGCTACTATGCGGATCAGAGACTTGCACTGCGCGTCATAAAGAACACCTCAAACAAACTACAGACCTTCATCAACAGTTGTCTTCGCTCAATACTCAAGATCACATGGCCAGAAAAGATCAGCAACAGGGATCTCTGGGAGCGAACCAACCAGGAACCGATTGTGAAACAAATAGGCAGGAAGAAATGGAGATGGATTGGCCATACTCTGAGGAAACCATCAAGTGACATCACTAGACAAGCCATTGCTCGAGTGGAACCCGGCCGAAAGGGAAGCGGCGAGTTGGTCGTCAGTGCAAGGGTGAGGGTGACTTGGAGGAGGTCATGTGAAGAGGAGATGAAAACGTGTGGATAGACTTGGAGCCAGGTAAAGATTTTAGCAGAGAACCGAACGCTATATATATATATATAAACTCGTAGCCAAATCATTAATAACTTATTCAATGAGGCACCAAAACAATTTCACTGTTATAAACAAATGCAAAGAAGCAATAACCATGAGCTACATAGGATTAGTATCAAATACAGAATAAGGTGTTTCGAATAAGAATAACACTTGACTTCAATTACATTCATTGACATCCGGCTATCAATCAAGGGACGTGTGTACTGCTCAGCAGTTCACTCCGTCCTTCTCTATGGCTCTGAAACATGGCCAATACGAGTTGAAGACATGAAAAGGTTGTCTGTTTTTGACCACAGATGTTTACGATCTCTTTCTCGCGTTAGGTGGTATAATAAGGTAAGTAATGTTGACATTAGGCGTAGAGTGTTGGGCAAAGAGGGAAAATCAATCGAAGAGGCTATAAAGTTACATATATTGAGATGGCTAGGTCACGTGCTGCGCATGCCTAGCCATCGCCTCCCCCGACGGGCATTACTAGCTGATATAGGTGCAGGTTGGAAAAGAGTAAGCGGTGGCCAAACAAAAACATGGCATCAATCCATGAAATCCCTGACAGTTAAACTGAGTCAGGTAGGGAGATGCACACTTCCGGGTTGGGGCCCTCGGGACTCTAAGAATAATCAATGGCTGGAGACAATAGGTGACATGGCTCAAAATCGTTGTCAATGGCTTACGCAGATGTATTCAGTCTCTGTAATTTTTCATATTCCTTTCTACCATTACTCATTCTGTTTCACTCTTATACTTGTCAAAACTCTATTGATTCTCTTCACTCATTTTCTTGTCTACCTTTGTGTGCTATTTGGAACATGGCAACTCGAACTGCTGCACTTCAGTGCCAAGTTCTATGTTGAATCCAGCCAGCCAGCCAACATTCATGGAGAATAAAGGTTAAAAATAAAGTTGCGAAATATCATTGATGAAACTCAACAACCATAAAACAAGTTTTTTGAGCTAAGGAAACTTGAATACCGGAAATAAGGAACACTGTTTTTAGAAATCCAACGATAAAGAACAATAAAAACTCACTTATCCAGTTTAACTCCAACGGCTTCAGGATTAAGCTTCGATAACTGTGGTTCGCGACCAACAGCAAAGAGAACCTAAAACGAAAAAACGATGAAATATATAGAGCAGAGAGTCAAGATTTATTTTTGAATCCATCTGAATTAAAATCTAGTGAAATTAGGCCTTTTGAGTATAACTAAATAAAGAACGAAACGAAAAACTATGTAGATAATGAACCATCAATAGACCTTATTGCACCTGTCAGCTGGAAATGTCTATTGTAATCCAGTTACAACCAAGCTATTAGATCTTACTTAACTTCCAAAGAGTGTCTACATGTATACCTTATAGTCCGGGATATAAAACATTGGTCAAGCAAGCGGATCAGACTTAACAAACCGATTCGGTTGCCGATAAAAAAAACAATATAAAGAATTCAAATACATAATAAATCATGAAACAGATTTAATAAATGCTGCTACCACTACTACTGTCAGTGAAACATTCCATTAAACTTATATAGGTACCATACGACGCAATGAGTTTACACTGAATAAACAGTTATTTTTAAAACCTAGTGGCAGTTTAGGTACTCACCGTTTCAAATTCTTCTTCAAACTTTCTTCCATCTGTATAATGAGCTCTTACAAGCAGACGCCCAGGTTTATTATTTTCAATATCCACCGGCTTTATTTGTTTTATCTATGTTAAGAAAAAGCAATATGCATTAAGTGATATCGTATTGCTATGATAAATTACAAGATTTTCTTTACAGAAAAATAGCGCAATAACAGGAACTGAACTTCTTTTGATTGTGGACCAACAACAGCTAAACAAAATGTTCCAACAAACAGTGACCTTGAGATTAAGACGGGTGTAAAAGGGTGGTTTAGCACAAACACGTAGATCAATTCTGATAAGCGAATAAGTTAAGTGATGATTGTCATTGGTGATATTTATTTATACCTATTATTTCACCTGCTTACTTCAAGACTGAATTGACCAGCCTCCTTTCAGCAAAAGTCTAATTTAAATGGATGGCTCGATATTACCTTTATTGCCCTTTAATAGGAAATTTTGATAATTCACAAAGCAACAGCCTTAAAGTTGGGCATACAAATGTAAGTTGGCAGTAACATAATCATCCCCGTGTGCGAGGAAGAAAGTGGCAACCAACTTGAGAACTTAGTACTTGTTTATAACTACTGAAACAAATGTTTCGTTTATTGCCTTGATTATAGATATTCAGTGTTATGCAAAAATGTTCTTCCATCTCAGAAATGTTTGGGATATAAATTTTAGATGCTTGCATAAGTGGAAAAGGTTGTACGAAACAAGTCCCGTCCAGCTAAACATCAGGACATTATTCTTCAAGAGTAGCGACGAAATGCTATAACTACACAGGAAAATATAAAAACCAGTTATTAAATAAAGTCTTTAGAAAAATTCAAATCCTGAATGACTGCTGACTTTAAACTAACCTCATCCGGTACGCATAGCTTTGCAAATTTGACTCCATGTTTCTCCATATAGTCGCCAATCATTTCAGCCATTTGTTGATCAAAACCACGCAGTAAAATGGAACGAACCATAACAGTAACATCACCACCCAAACTAGCCAGGAAACCAGCACATTCTAGAGCGACATAACTCGCCCCCACAACAAGTGTCTTACCGGGGAAGTATGGTAAAGAAAAAAGATCATCACTGCAAAAGGAAAGAAAAATGTTTCAGAACATCTTGATCTTTATAATGCGTTCACAAGTAGCATAATTTTCGCGCGTTTTGAATTCAGAGTTTTGGGGTTAATTATTGTCATACGCAAAAAGAGATAGTCATAACTCATTCAAAAAAATGCACAAGTACCCGACAATTGAGTTCAAATAAGGAATACAAATTTTTATTATAGCAAAAATCTCTTGGCGTATCTCAATAAACGGATAAGAGAACTTATAGGACTTATCAGTGAGAATTTCGCTAAGCAAATTCGTTTGTGTAATTACGTTGTAAATGACAGGTAAAATGCAGTTATGGTTTACTGCTGAATGTGAGACAAGAGTTAAAAGGTTACAAGAGCCTTACAGTCAGTTAGAAATGCTGTTTCAGGTTTTCTACAACCTAACAAAAGAATTACATGGGATTCACAATTTGTAAATTAGGAGAATTAAAGTTGATTGCAGAGATTTGAAAAAGGTAAAGAAAACATCAAGTCAGATTTCGCCAAAGGAAGGAAGGTGAAGATAAGACTAAGACACAAAAATCTCATGTTTGCATGGAATATTATATACGTATATATATATATATATATATATATATATATATATATATATACTACAAACTGGTACCGCTACTTCTACCAACCTTGTAATTCCATATTCAACTGCCCCAGGTATTTCTGGATATTTCGGCCGTTCACCCGTAGCAAGAATAATTTTGTTTCCAGTTATCGTAGACACCTTCTTGTTTCTTTCTGTAATCTGCGGTAATTCAGGAGAAAATTTAAAAAAACTGGTGAGGATAATTATTAATGCTTGTCTGTCTTAATGCAACAGATGAATAAAAACCTTGATGTTCTAGGAAGTTAATCGGTGAAACATAACTTTTCAAAATCAACAAAAAGAATACTTGTAACACAACTAGATTGAAGGTAGAATTTTAAGGGAAACGTAGAGGTTCTCACTGAATGATTTACTACTTTTGAACTCTTTTTGAATTTTAACGTCTATAAAATTGAAGCAATGAAACATACCGAAAGATATTAAATATACAATCGTGTGTTTATACTGAAATATGTTAAACTCCTCAGCAAATGAAATATGAAATTTTAAAATACACAACATTTTGAAACTTTAAGATACAACTAAATTCTAGGAACAAGTAGCCAAGAATTGATATTGCAACAAAGGTTTAAAGATGTATTTTCGTGACTAATCACTTTCTATTAATTCAACGGCAGACGATTCTGGTAGTGAGTCATTAAAATTATCTGGATGTTCACACGATGAAAAGTAGATTAAGGTTCAAATTTGTGAGTTATGCACAGGCCTAGAATCGATTCGTCCCTGGACTAATAGGCAAACTCCACTAATGCAACAGTTACCACCAGTAATGCACGATTAGTGTGAGATTACATATCACTAATACCTCACATCTCACTATACTTTTTTCTACATTATGTATGTGCTTAACAACATGGCTTACACACGATATTTATTGAAAGAGAACGAAAATCAAAGCTAGTTCACATACCTGCACTTCATGAGGACCTAATAAAACACCGCGTGCATTTAAATATGTAACTTGATTGTCTCTAAGTGCAACTTTGTAGCCCCAATTCAGAGAACCAATATGACTTTGGACTCCTTCTACCATGGTAGACCACTTATGAGAAACTGAAATAAGAAAACAAAAGTATTAATGGTGAAAATACATTTCTGCAACGAAAGAGATAAGCAAACAAAACAGCTGCTGCAAGAGAATCTTTACTACTGTACCATATCTGATATTGAAGGCAACGGTAAAGATATGTGAAGGTTAGCCAAGAAGCAGAATTATCATACTGTACTTCAAAAACATATACCTATTGTGAGCATAAATCTAAATCTAAAAACTGACTGACCGGTTTCAACATAGAACTTTGTCACACCCATGTAACACACAAGGGTAGACAAAAAAGAAAAGATTCAGAAGAACGATAATAAGCAGGAATGTGAGGGGAAAAGAATAGTGACATGGAGAAACAATAGGGTGTTTTGGATATGGTAAATCACAGAGAGCTACTGCGTCTGCACTATTGGGAACCACTTGAGCCATTTCACCAATTGTCTCCAACCACTGGTTCTTAGAACCCCGAGGACTGCAAGCAGGCAGCCTACATCTCCCTACGTGGCTAAAACTAATTGTTATAGATTTCATGGACTGGTGCTATGATTTCGTTTAACCCACCACTAACTTTTTTCTACCCTAATTCCATGTCACCTAACGCCCTTTAAGGAAGGCGATGGTTAGGCATGCGTAAAATATGCCCCTGCCATCTCAATCGATGTAGCTTTACGACCTCGTCGATAGATTTTTCCTACCTACCTAATACTCAACGCCTAGTATCCATACTACCCTATTATTCCATCTAACACGGGAAATAGAACCCAGACACCTATGATCAAACACAGTTAACCTTTTTATGTCTTCCACTTTCAATGACCGTGAGTTGGTGGTACAACGGTAGAGTACTCGCCAACTATTCATATGGTCTGAGGTTCGATTCCCGATCGACACACTTCTTTGCCTAGTTAAGCCGGTAGTAAGATCGGTAAAGAGGAAAGGCTTGGTGTGAGGCTAGTAACCCCACCCCGTAAAAATAAAAGCTGCTACCGAAACTTCAAAGCTCTGGCTTGAAGACCTGTTCCACTAGAAACTTGAATGAAATCAATAAATAAATTTTCAATGGCCATGTCTCACAGACATTAAGGAGCAAACTGCTGAGCACTACACACATCCTTTGATCGATAGCCGGATATCACGTCTACGCCAGAGATGACGTAAGCTGGCAAATGCCGCAAGAGCCTTTTGTATCGATGCTGAGATTTCGTCAGTGATCTGCCCGTTGGGGTTGATGCAACTTTTCGAATAAGTGATTTGGTCAGCATACCCTACCACTTCACTTCCCGTCTTTAAGCTAGGAGTCGATCTAGCCCAGTCCTGAAGCATCATTGTACGTTTGACAAGGGCTAATTGCATGGGAAGCATTCAAAGATACCTTCTCAAGGTGTCCAGAAGACTCTATTTCATCATTATCATCATCACCTAGTAGGGCAATATCATCCGCATACACAGTCCACAAGACTATCCCCTGCCAAGTTGCTGAAGTCAGGTAGGATTAATTCCATTAATGCGTCGATGATGACATTAAAAAGAAAAGGGAACTAAGTGTTGCATGATACTACTACTTAAAAGAAGTAAACACGAGAGGCGTGTTGTACAACATATTCGCCATGGGGTTATCTGAACTACTTGATTTTAAAATAGTCTTTTGTTTCAATAAGCTACATGATACCCTTAACATCGTTTTACTCATCTCTATTGTTCCCAGAGAAACAGTAGAGGACCTGCTGGGATAGTATGTGTGAAACGTATTTCAGCTCAGGAAGCCAATATTCAGAGCTGTATTCATATAATGAATAGTCCTTTTAATGATATATGAACCCATCAACGGATCCAAGTGTTATGTATCTCATCATAAAATGTGACCGACAATTGTGAACGAATAGCCAAACCTAGGGATATCTTTCTCGAATATTTAGAGCATGAATAAGGCTTTATACGCTAAACTTTCCAGATAAACCATGAAGGTATTACTGATTATACAAATAAGTGTACGCAAAGTTCTTTTGTGTTGTACAAATGCTGACCGTATGCAAAGCGCCTACGACAGCATTTAAAACGGTTATGTGAACTTTCGGTGATTTTAAAAAATATATGTGAAGGTTAGGTACTTTAACTGATTTTGAAAAAGAACTCCAGCACGAAAATGTAAGACTCAATAGTAAGGAACACACTTATTAAACGTATAAGTGTGGAACATAATGGACTCACACTACACGTCAACCGTAAAAGCGATACTTACTTTTGGATCTGTCTACATCCCATCCAAAATGGTGAGCGTCTTCCAGACAATGACCTGTTGGAGGTAAAATGCATTTCCATTAGACCTGATAATTATTTCGTAATAATATAATAAAAGTGCTTAGGTAGGCAGTCGGTTAAAGACTTTGGTCATATTTAGTTGATGCATCAAAAATGATACAACACCGAACTTACTGAGGATCCCAGCTTGATGCATCAATTTCTTAGGAATGCATCCGACATTCACGCAAGTTCCTCCCAAGCCCCAAGTCGTACCCAAAGGAGTTGGTTCTACGTAGTCTAGGACAGCTGTTTTAGCTCCATATTTCGCTGCCTCCTAGGAAAGGAAAGTAAATATTACATAAGAGATGCATACAATGTTAAGAATACTGGACGTGAGTAAAGACAGCCGTTTTTCAAGCAGTAAGCACTCAGCAAAATTAGCGACCGGTCGTGAGACAATCATTTCGTTACACGGACAAGTAGTGGTTAACTTTTCGTTGAGCCAAAAACCTTCAACAGAAGTAATGTATAAATACCATCAAATCGATAGGCTATTAACACGAAGAACAGTGTCGATCTTTAACGGGATAATCTGCTGCTTTGTAAACTGTCACTGAAGTAAAAAGTAGTCATGACATATTGCTAAGAGTCGCTACTTCGTATGACAAACCACGCAGCTTCAACGGGAAATAAATGCAGCGATAGTAGTAGGGTATAGGAAGTTGAAAAGGAATGGGATATTTCTAGGCCATGATGAGTAACAATAGGTTAGATCTAGTTACAAAACATGGGTTTTAACAAGAGTAACAAACCACCCGGCTGAAAGATCGCACATAAAGGAATCTTTTGTTCATCATTTCTTTCATTACCTCCATGTGAGGATAATACCTGTAGTCCCTAAATTTAACGAACATTTGAATTGAGTAGGAACTGAGAGAAAACCTTTTGGGTTTTAGAGGTTTTCCGGACAAATTAATTGAGCGTAGAGGTGTAGAAGGATGACAATGCTATTATAGCCGAGTAAATTGATTTAGCTTTTATTTCATCTTTTAAACAATCTTCAGAAAAACAAGACTAACGCATACGCACTTTTAACATGTTTGGTGAATACACATACGAAGATTTTGATACTAATCACATAATGAAACCTGTTAATGAGTCTAAATTATGGTCAGCACATCACTATATTTATTAAGGGAAAATAGTAACCCGGATAGACCCCGCTAACAGAATCCTTGGAACCTGTTAAGACACAGATTTTCATCAAGAAAGAGCATAATCAGTATGAATGTATTACTAAAATATGAACTCAAGAGTACCTTTGCTGCAGCAAGTCCCCCAGACCCTCCACCAATAACTATTAAGTCATAGTCATACTTGTTTTCATTGACAATCGCCGCTAACTCGTTATTATTGCGGTATTTTATAACTGTTTGAGAATCCCCTTGAGAGAAGATTTACTTCGGCTTAATACAAAACTTACCGATGAATTTGCCTCTAACAAATACTTGAGGAACTGTCTCGATTTTTGAGAAGTTATATAATGACTTTTGAATAGCTGGACCATTAGCTGGAAAGAAGAATGAGAAAAACATAAACCTACGTAACTGGTCTAGTTCGATTGTTGCATGCTTGATTTTTTCCTCAGCTAAAATTTGCTTCAACTAAAAACCATAAAATGTAAAAAGTAGCCACTAACATTTCTACAAAACGGGCATCCTGTTTTGCTGAATACTAACACAGCAGCCGATTCGATAGTCTTTCGTAGCCACTGTGAAGTCCCATCGATTGGTGGCATGACGTGAGTCTAAAATGTTGACGAAATTAATAAATGTATATGACAAAACAAAAAAGAGCTTCAATAATCTGAAATTTAACACTAGTACAATTACGAAAAGGAATATGAGAGGGCTCTATCTTATGGATTATCTCTAATTAATGTACTCCTTTGAAACCTTAGGAAACAGCATTTGACGGATTTCAGTCATATTGTTGAGTTCTTGAGTATATCTACAGGACACCTGACCATCGCAATTAGACCTGTAAAAGATTCCAAAATGAAACTGCTAACCAAGATTATTTTTGCGTCCCAAAAAAGTAAAACGGACCTTGGCTACTGTGAAGTAAGGAACTCTGTGAAATATAATGAAATAAGAACTTAAATGAGTGGTTATAACAGAAAGCATATTTAAGCTAGGCTTTCTTTCTATGACTAGTCTTGGACTGTGTATGAGAATCTTGAGAGTCGTTAACATTGATAAAGAAAGGTAAGTGGGTTTCTGACTATTTACAACCAGTAGGTCCTAAAATGAAGTCATTTATCATTCTTAAAACAAAAGCTTTTGGAGAAAAATATGTAGTGAAAGCTTGAATGCAGGCAAAAAAATGTAGGGAAATTTTGAAGAAAAAAAAACGCGTGGAAGGCAGTCATTAGTATATACTTGTCAGCAAAGTTGGGTCATAGCAAAAATTCACCAAAGTTAGTCCCAAGTTCTTAAGAGAAATTGATCATAGGGGAAGGGTACTGGGACTGGTAAATATGTTGACCAACTGCATTCCACGAAGTAGTTATGTGAGATAATACAACATGAGATGTCCATATATATGTCCTTGGTGTTTTTACATCCCAAAGAGTTCATTACTTAGACTGCCAGTCTTCCTGCTTTCTCCTTCAAATAACTTGACATCTAAAATCTTAAGAATTCTGAGTAGGAAGCAGTAATAAAATCATGCTAGTGCATGAAAATAGGCAGTTCATATCATTAATCGGTACACTTAATGTGACATGACAACTCAACATACCAGACAGTAGTTCTGTGTAAACTATCTTAGGCATGCAAAATGACATATTACCGGTTTATTTTTACGGTTCCATGTGCACAACAAAGGGAGACACACTTTATGGTAACGGCTGGCGCTTATGCAGAGATTCCTTAACCAAGACATCTGAGTATAATCTTATGATTGCAGCACCAGGTCCAAATGTATGTAAAATAAAAGGGTTGATAACCCCTAGAAACGACTAAATCAAAATGTAGCGCGTATACGACAAACCTCGACACGACGAGAGGAGTGAATGGACTGCAAACCGCCTTCTTCAGCTGTAGGTCAAAGTTCATTACTTAGTGTATTAAAACACAATGAAAACGAAAGTTACAGAAAAAACGAAACACAAGATTTCGCGAGTTTCCATTATTTTCATTTGAGCCTACTGTTATGGTTTCTATGATGAGATCTCACTGCTTAATGTAGTTAGTTAACCAGTCTGATGGCAAATATGTGCTACACATAGCTACCGCTGGTTGTGGATTATCTTAGCCAATCTATGACAAATCACCACTTTTATTAGCTCATTTTAGGACTCTGGACCACAAAAACACAGTTAATGCAGTGAGCAGTGTATGGATTCCTTCAGGCCACTCTGAGATATATTCCTTCCTCAGAAATCAACATATAAACTTATTGACCAGTTACCGTTCGACTTCTAGAGACATAGACATGGTTTAGGGGACATGGTTCACTAAAACTAAGCACTTCCAAGGGCAGAAAAGTGGTTATTCACTTCCAGTGGTCCGAATCTAATGAGTGACTATCCCATCCCAGTATTCAAGTATTGAAGCCGTTTAATATAATGCCACTAATTCTCCACTCTGAATTCCCACGTCACGTTTTCAAAAATCTCAAACTCGCGTGACGCCCAAATATCTTGTTCACTGAAATGAATTGGCTTCTGATTATCCTGATTTGGAAATAATACTTCATTTCAAGAAAAACTATCAAAAAATTGGACGATTATTCATCACTGACTATTTTTCACTCAACTACATTAAGTTGCGAATGTAAATATGTCTAGGTGACAGGTCAGGTGCACTGCCACACCATCCGAAATTGCTTCGGTGTTCGAAGGATATTTCAGCAATAGTAAAATGAATAAAGAGAAAGATATTCCAATATCCCTGCCAGTATATACATCGGTCTCAAGTCACAGAGTCACAATTACATGGGATAAATCTTCACTGTATCCCATAGGCTTTGTTATTGAGTAGCATAATCCTTAGATCATTAGGCCTTGTGAAGTCCCTCTACAACACTTCAAAATTATTCCTGTAGCATGCACTGCTGGTAGTTTTTACGAATTCAAGCTTTGCCTTGTGTTATAGGAGGAGTAATAGACACTAAACAGCACATCAAGTTTATCTCTCCATGTTAAACAACTTGAGGTCTCAGAGATGGAGAGGAGTGAAGTAGTCCATCAGAAATGAGTGTCCAACGCCTACAAAGATGCTGAGCATTTTGTGAGTGTTTGAAAATTTTTTCCTAGAGTTACAAAGCAGAAAATTGCTTTTTCAATATGTCCAACTTATTTCCGCCGTCGGAACTGAGAAATTTAATTTTTCGTGGCAAACCTGCTCACGCTGCAGATATTTAGTTGATTTACCTTCGATTTGAAAACCAGTTTCCTTACTAGTAACTTAATGGACACTGCCCAGTTCATATACTTTTTTGAGAAAATTTCCTCTAGTAGTATCACCTGAGTGAGTAAGACATCTATTCATAGGTGCTGCATAGCACCATATCTTTTAGATGTGATCTCCCATAGTGTATCTATCATAGTGATTATCATGACTTGTTGCTAATACACTTATACTTACACATTTTTATTTTCCCGACTGACTGTCAAAAACACTATCATGAATTGTTTCTGCTGTCACATGACAACTCTCCAGAACTCGCAATACTATTTAGCTATTTAATACCCAGCTCAATTTGAGCTCATAAGATAATAAAAGAAGAATAGAAACGCCAGAATTTTACTGGTCAGCCTTCTGTGAACTATTATAGCTGGGTCACTAATACAGCAGTTTGATCATTTAGTTGTTAGCTGGCCACTTTAAATTCTCTGAAAAATAGTCTGTAGATAAGTCAGTATAATATGCATCAATACTTCTGGTCGTTTCGCTCTGGTTTTCTGGCAGTTATCAAGCGTAACATCATGGTGAATACAGTTGCCACCAACGAAAGTAAAACTGGTTCGAGCAAGCAAGGTAACTGGACAACCGTCCAATGTTCGCCAGCACTAACAGCCTCGTTCCACTAATCCCAACATTATGTTTAGCTTGGCTCATTACATATGCGGGGATTTGACCGATATAGAAACAGGTAATTCTGATTTCAGTGAACATGAGATCATTGACCGACGCTAACAGTCCCTTACGTTTATCCAAGTTCTACTTCTGCTGATGAAGTTTTATAAATGACGCAATGGCCGGTCACGGAAATATGTCGGATCACTAAGCAGCCCTCAAGGAGGGACGCTAAAGTGACAGAGTTGCACAACCCTGTTAAGAGACCACTTCGGTCAAATAGTTCCCGGTTTTGCTCCTACCATCAACCAAATTTGCCTCAATGGCTTAACCCACGTGGCGGGTCAAAATAATAATATATATTTTCCTATCAATGTAGGACACACCAGTTGTACAGGCATGGATAAGTATTATTTAAATTACATGAATTTGGTTTATAGTGAAATTACATGGTTGCTCTCCTCTCTGACATCAGTTAGTGAGCACATTCTGATAGTTAGTCGTTCAATGGAGCACATAAAGAAATATAGAAATATTGTCTTCGCATTAACAAAAAAACCCAAGTATGTGTCGGATAAATTACAAATATTTGGGAAAAAATAAAGCTAGAAGTCAATTCCTCCATATAACTTTTTGGTGTGCGGCATCGTATCTTGTTTTATGTTCAAATTGGGTAATAATTTAAAATGAGTGATTAATTTTTATGATTTTGACATCATTTTTTGCAAGTAATACCAGTTGTGAATTCAACTGAATGCAGATTAATATTGGTCAATTTCAAGCAGATTTGTTTTACTGCACTCTGTCACCCATAGCCCGTCATTTGTCACAGCATGGTTGCTCCGTACGAGTAAGTTGATAAACGCGTAGAAAACTATATAAAAACCATTTTAGATCGTTGACAGTGCTTGTATAAGATGCTGTACAGCGTCTAGTTATGGTGACAGTGGATTTCATCAAGGATGCTGAGCCATTACTAGCCAAACCTTGAGGGATAATATATGGGTAAGTGACTTCAATTGTTTCTCAGCTTCAGTCGGAATGTAGATCAATGCAACTTGTACTACAAAGTAAATACAACAGAAATGTACCAGAGGACAAAGAAAAAGTATGTGGTGTCAAAAATCTTTGTTTATATTCGTTGTACATTGTAATTTGATGAACAAAAATTTGTTTCTACTATGTCTTTTTATGCATTTATGCTACTAGTTTATTTATAGTCTTTAGAGAAGTAAGGGTATTTAAGCGCGTTTAGGTACTGTAGTAGACTAATAGTTGATTCGTTCTAGGAATAAATAGTTTATTTATATAGTCGGTAGAGTGAAATAGTGTGTACAGAGAGCGTTTGAAACTTAAAACTGTATTGCAGTTCCTGATATCTAGGGGCAGATTGTTCCATATTTTAGAATACATGACTGTGAAGAAGTTTTCGCGGAGTGTTGACTTAAAGGCTTTTATTGTCACTGTGCAATTTTGGTTACGCAGATCGTAAGAGCCTTCTTGCGCGAATTGTATGTCCTTAATGTCTGAGAATGATATTTTGTGTAGGACCTTATAGAAGAATACTAGGTTTATAATTAGTCGTCTTGTCCAGAGTGGGTCAAGTTGTAGAATCATGCGCCGTGAGATGTAGTCTTCCTTACATTCGTAGCCAAGTAGTTTCGAGGTAAAATATCGTTGGATACTTTCAATTCTTAGCTTTTCACGTGTGTGAGTGCTGCTAATAATAAATGGACAGTATTCTAGTAGTGGCCTCACACAGGTTTTGTACAGAATAAGCTTTGCTTCATTGTCGTGAAAGTTCCTGAGTATGTATCCTAAGAGCATCCTCGACTTTTGAGTCTGTGATGCCACTTACTCAGAAAATGTTAGGTTACTGGAATACCTCAGACCTAGGTCAACGACACTTTGGAGTTTGGTTAGGTTAGCCGATTGAAGCGTTAACTTCATGTCGATAGAGGGTGCACCGAAGCAGATCCAGCCACATTTTTTAAGGTTAAATTGGAGGTTCCATAAAGACGACCAAGCAGTCACTTTATCTAGTTCTTTTTGTATAACATTCTGGAAGTACCCTAGGTCATCAGATTGGAATGTATAAATCTAAACCACGTTCCCCTAAAAACACTGGCTGGTGTTGGTATCACAATACCCATGGTCAGAAAGTTACATGTGGACGAAAACACAGTAAATTTAGTAATGACTCTAAGACATTGAGGAACCATCTCTTCGGCAGGTGTTAGCGGCAGATGTTGCTGGTGGCATTAGCCGCCTACCAAACATCCGCGATATAGCCAACAAAACCTTCAAATTACAGGCTGCAAATGGAAAACCAATTGCAACCTTTGGTAGGAAATACGTCTATTTGAACGTAAGTTTACGCAAACATATTCAGTGGGTTTTCCTTTTTTCTGACGTCACAATGATTATCATTCGCACGGACCTACTTAATCATCATGATTAATTCGTAGACGTTCGCCGAAAACGACTGATAGACTGTACTACTAGACAGTCTATCAAAGGCATCACGTACCTTGGCCACAGCTTGTCACTCGTTAAGATGAAGTCAATCCTTGATCCAACTTTCCAACTGATTGTTGGTAAGTACCCGGAACTCAGTTGCCCGTCTAACGATCTACCGTGCATAGCCAGCAGTGTGACATCTAAAGCACTACGACTTGCTCCTGACAAGCTGAAACTCGCTAGAAATGAGTTCGACCATGTGCTTACCCCTGACATCATTCGGCCATCGAATAGCCCATTTTCGGTCGAATTCTTTCAAACCGTATACAAACTATTTACACACAATTTTTACCAGAAACTGTTGAATTTTCACATTCTACACATAAGAATACTTGTGAGATACTATTTTTCCTTGGAAGTATTATATAAACTCTGTTAACACTGACCCTGCCATCTGCAGGTTTTGAATGTATATTTTATGGGATATATCCGGTTCAATTTGGTGAGTCTGTGCAATTTTTTGAAGTTTTGCGTATTATCTATTCAGTGCTATATCTATAGTTCTGATTTTTTCTT